GCAAGATGTACGCTTTTTCTAATTCTATCTAGCTAAATGCATGAAGCAGTTTGCTGACACTGGGCGGGGTGTGGTGTATGTAAGATAAGAAGAGATTGCTTGCTGAGAAAAGATGCCACGTAGGCAAGTACAGGCATGTTCTGTGGCTAAGGTAATGTGCGCATGGGCTAAAAGAAGCAACCAATAGTAACTGCACAGCGTGTTGGGTGAGAGAAAACTATATAAGGCTAACGCCAACTAGGCTGGGTGGGTGCTTGCTTTGCGAACGATCGCCAAGTACCCCCTTTCTGCGCAGACTTGGAATAATAAAGATTAAGTTGGATCCTCCACCCCTGTGTGTTTGTTGGCAAAAGCGCACCGGGCACGAACTCACTGTCTTTGCAGACAACAATACTATCGCAGCACTATTGAAGTAGAAGACGTAACATGTAGAGTCAAAGAGTAAATCAAAATACATGGAATACAATTTTAATCCTGCTTGAGACTTGAAGACTCTTAAGCTAGGGACAGAAGTTTCACATAAACTGGTTTAAGTGATCAGAAACTGGTTTAAACCTAAAACACAACAAGTTCAGTGCATATAAACCAGTTTCAAAATGGCTGAAACTAGTTTAAGATAAACCTGGTTGAATGTAGTATCAGACTTAACTGATTTGGGTCAAACCAGGTTATGAAACTTCAGTCCCAGATCCCTTCCTAGTTCAAGTTAAATCACAGTCCCCCAGCATGCTTTCTGGCCCTGGGCTAGGCTGTGCTGTCTGCTCTAGCAGAAAAGGAGGTGGGGTGTGGTGAAGGGGAAGAGAAGTGACAGCCCTCCCCTCCTCCCAGGCAAACCCTGGCTGGGGTCTGGGGCCAGGGGTTAAACCCTCCTTCCCTGTGTACAGAGCTGCCCTGCTAAACCTACTGAAAGTCACTGCTGGCTGCAACTGTGGACTATAAATCCCAGAGGCACCTGGAAGCAGAAGTAGTGATAAGCAACCCTGCAGTGTCCTGCTGCTGTGGTCCTGCTGCTGTGATGCTGGACTGCAAATCCCAGAGACCTCAGGGGCAGCAGGAAGAGAAAGTGTCAGAGAGCCATGCTTGAGCATCTCCTAGCTTCTGGCCTGAGCCACTGCAGGCATGTGGCTGCATTTCCTGAATCAAAGGTAAGTGTGTGTCCAACTGTTTCTCAGTTTAATCTTTGCAGCTTAGACTAAATTGCAAAGATTGGATTGACTCAGCCTTGGGATTTTGGACTGTCTGTACTTAGCCTTAATCCCTTCATTCTAATAAGGGTCTCATCACAGTGCATAGGGAAATGCGCTGACTTCCATTTTACAAGTCTTGTATTTCACAAGTCTTATGGCTGGATGAAGAGGCTATACACCAGGAGTGAGCAAAGTTTGGCTTGTCGGCCAGATTTGGCCTGCAGCTGACTCCACTTCCCAGCAGCCCTGGCCCATGTCACTGTAGCTGGTTTCCATGGAGACCCCAGAAGGGGCAGAGCCATAACAGTGCAGGGCCAGGGATTCCATGGAGACCAGCCCAAGCAGTGCTGGCCGGGCATGTGGCTGGATGGGAGCTGCTCCAGGGCTGGGGCTGAGATTTTGTGGTGTTGACAGCATGATCCAGAGCTAGGGCAGAGCCGTGATCTGCTGCCCTCATGCCCCGAGTACAGGCACGCTGAAAGCGAATCAGGGCTCTGCTCCAGCAGGGTGTGAGCAGCTCATCGCAGCTCTACCTTGGCTCCAGACCACACTATCACCACTGCAAAATCCTGGCACCAGCCATGAAGCAGCTCCCTGCCAGTGCTGCTTGGGCTGGTCTCTTTGGAAACCCTAGCCCCACTGTCATGGCCCCACCCCTCCTGGGATCTCCATGGAAACTGGCTACAGAGATGCAGGCAGGGGCTGCTGGGAAATGGAGTCTGGCTGCCAGCTGGATCTACCATTTTGCCTACCCCTGCTATATACTCAGGTACTACAGAATGTTTCTGCACAAAATAGCTCATACATGCAAGCAAGCATTTTCTTGGAATCCCATGTTTTTATTATATATCCAATACAAATGTGCATATACGTGTGTGTGTGTGTGTGCGTGTGTGTGTGCGTGCGCGCTCAAGATATATCCCTCTCTCTCTCACACCATTTAAAAATGTAACAGTGGGAAAGGGTGGGAACTGAGACCTGTCTGTTCCTAGGCATCCGGTCTCCCAGAAGACAGAAGAAATGTGGTATGCAGCCCTCTCATTAAAAAGATCACATCCTGCTTGTTTTATTTCTATTTTTATTTTAATTTTCTACTATTTCAGCAGTTGTGCTTTGTATCTCCTACACCACGCATAGTGCTAGTATTGTGAGCAGCTGATAAGAGCAGTTAGGATTTATTTTTTGTCTCAGGTTGTGGAATCTCAGACATGAGCTCAACTACTGAATGCTCCAAAATACTCAGTTTTGCAAATACACAAAGATCTAAAGAACAAAAAGCAGCAAGAGACATTTCAGGACAAAACATACTTTATTGTACTATAACACCAGAAGTACATGAAGAGTACTGCAGAAGACCATGCTAATGGCAGCATTTGGATTTGTGAAGGACTGAAGTTACAATACAGGAGGATTCTACCGTAATCATGTAAGAGTTGACTCATTTGAGACACAAGTACACTACTGTTTATGCAACTTGATTCAAACATAGCTCTGGTACACTGTCCTCTTTCAAAAGTGGCATGGTTCTCAAATAAAGATACTTTTAAGTTAGTAGATGACAGCTTTAAGACAGGGGTGTCCAAAATACAGCCCAGCAGCCAAAAGAAGGATATCAGGACATCCATGCAGGATATTGGCCATCTCCACTCTACTGTGTTTGATATGGAAGCATGGCCAAGGGGAAATGATGATTACGAAAGGCTGGGGCCTACATCTGCCATTCCTCCCCTCTCCACTTCTCTGTGGCAGCTCCAGGAAATAAATACCACGTTTCACTTGCGTGGTCTGTTAGGGGAGCTACTAGCAACTGATTTGTCTATAAAGAAAAGTCAAAATTCAGGCAGACACCAAATCCAATAAAGAACTGTACGTAATTGCAACATTCAATTTAGGTAGAGTCCTTGGACTCTTAGCAAGTTGTCAGCGAAATCCTAAGTCACAATGTTTGGCCACCCTTGAGTTAAGTTAAATAGACAACATTTTTGCCGCTGCATAAGCAAAATCTCACTGTTTAGACACCACTGACCTCTACAATGAGAAAGCCAGAATAGAGTCAGTAATTACTACCAGGCAAGCATGTTCTGCTGCTCCAAAACATAAAAAGGTTTAAACATGACAATGGCAAGGTGCAAAAGTAGAGACGCAGAGAGAGTTAAGAGTTTTGATACCAGAAGCAGCATCTGAAAACAAAGTTTAGTCATTTAGGGAGATGCAGATCATATGCATGAATGCACATGCTGGCATTCTCCTCCTTCACCCCAGCAGCTGTGTTTTAAATACAAAGTCTTGGGTTAAAAACAAAGGCTACCTGACCAAGAGCTTGCTACAGCTTTGTCTATTTGAACAAAATTAGTTAAGAGATGGAGGGGGAAAAAAACATTACTGCTGCAACAGTAATTACTCAGAGGACCCCTCTAATTACAAACACAGCTTCTGATTGTTAAAGCAACACAAGACTAAAACATACAACTATTACTTTAAATTATTACTATGCTTATAAGTTACATTAGTTAAAAGAAAGAGAGCCAAGCAGTTTTGCCCTATTTCAAAGATAGTTTCCAATCAACACCAGTTATGTGGTGAAAGGGACCTTATGATTAAATGAGAAATGGTAACATCTTTGGGTCAAGAATGACAAGAAAGAATGGGCTCTGTGCTACCAATCAACTTCAACAAGAATATGGCACAATGGCCAGCACAAGCTATACCAACACTGAACCTTTAGCACTCGATCATAAATTTGGATCTTATCTTAAACTAGCAAGTCAGATGAAAGGACTGGGTAAAGAAAAAGTTTCAAAATAACTCAAACGCTAGAAAATAAATTAAAAGTCACCTTGAGGCTTAACATATTTTCTGGTGACATATCAGAGTTTATGCAAGCTAAAAAAGAAACCCACCAATTTCTCTAACAAAAGAAATATCCCCAATTATTTTCCTTTTAGCCCTTTCATATCTGCAGACAGGTCTTGGATCTAAGAGATATATATGTAAAGAGGAAAAAAAAGTTGCAGCATCTGCATAACATTCTCTCTACAAACAGCTGTTGGAGGGAAAGTAAAAAACCGAAGTAAATGGAATAAAGAAAGGAAAGTTCCATCTGAAATTCTCACATCTTTCCCACTCTGCAGTTCATGAATCTGACTCTGATGCTAAGGTGACAGTGTATGCAAGTAGATTTTTTTTTTTTTTTTTTTTTTTTTTTTTTTTTTTTTAAGTTTCAGTGAAGAAAACCCAGAAAGACAGAAATCTCTTCAGGAATTATCAGACGGAACATGCTCCTCAAATCCCTCGCTCTCTCGGACCAAAGCCCTTTCCAGGATGACACGACCTTCCTTATAGCGCTGGCTGTCTTCAGTGGCAAATTCATAGATCCAGCCCAGTTTACTGTTGCAGTTCTTGCAGCTCACGTCCCGAACCATGTGGCGGCCAGTAAGCATGACGCGGTCCTGAACTTCACTGTACTGCAGATTCACTACCTATGGAAAAATTGAGGGCATGAAGAATAGAAAGGTTTAGCCTAACCAAGGCAAGAACCTTTAAACTGTTTTGCAGTTGCTAGGAACATTATAGGTACCCATCAAAAATGAAATTAGTTTAAGCAAAAATCCTATAGCACTATGTACACTAACAGCCAAAATGCAACAGGCCGTAATTATACCAACAGGCTGCGATTCTGTTGCCTGAATGGAGAGCTGTTTAGGACTTATCTTGGATAGATGTTTTAAGGCTTTAGTGTTTGTCAAACACAAATATGATACTTACACAAGAGGCACCAGGAGTGCAGCTTGGTTAGCCCAGCTAAGGCTTACCAGTTAGATCACAACTATACACAATGTGACAGCTTATTAATGGAACCATCCTTGATGTCCAGTCACCTTTTGAGTTACCAAACCCATTTTTCATAATAGAGGTGATCACAGCAAATGGATGACTTTGGTCATTGGTAGGGACCTACCCAAATCACGATTGTGCAGAAATCACAAAATTGGGATTGCCGCAAAATCCATGGGGGGAGGGAAAGACGCGTGCCTTACTAAAAATAAACTGCTAGCTCTCCACTGGGAGCCAGCAGTCTTCTTGGCCGTGCAGCCCACCATGAACAGGGGTGTCAGCACAAAAGCAAGCAGGCAAGATGGCCATCGCCCCTGCCCCTTGCCGATGATGGGCTGAGTGCTGGCAGTCGTGCAGCCCCACTCCGCTCCACAAATCAGCAGTGAGGGATGAGGACTCATGACAGAGCCCTCTTCCAAATCATCAGCAAGGGGCAGGGCCGCTAGGGCCCTTCAGCCAGAGGCATGGGGGGCCCCACACTGCACTAATCCCTTAAGAATAGCAGCTGGCCCCCATACTTTGCATGTAAAATTGGATGGCTGCCTCCTTCAAATCGGGCAAACATCTAGTCATTGGATTATGAATTACAAAATGTACATAAAAATACTCAAAAATGGGATTTCCAAAAGCACCTAATGAAGATCTGATAAAGAATGCCTTGTATTGAAATGCTTGTCTGACTGTATCTCAGCTATGCAATTGGTCCAATAAAAGACATCACCCACAAAAACCCTTGCCTCTTGCAAAACCATCTAGGAAATTTAGGGGGACAAGGTAAACATTTAAGTGCTTTTGAAAAATCTCACCTTTGAAAGAGATTAATGATCAATAACATCTTGAAAAAGCCAAACTTGATAGCATACCTATTAGGATTATTACACGTGTGTCATGTATTATCTGAGCAAGAACCAAAAGAGGTACCTCTATCTCAACTTTTTACAACAACCAGGCAGGTGAAATCAGTGTACAGGTACTCCTCACTTAACGACCTACCTGTTTAACGACTGCGCGGACTTACGACCAGCTCTCCGTAGAGTCGTAGAGCTGGTCAGCAGCGCGGCGTCTCAGCAGCGCGGCATCTCAGCGTCAAGCTGAGGGGGACGTGGAGCTGAGCCCGGCACCCTCCAGCCGGCTCCGCGAACCCACGAGGGGGGAGAAGCATCCACCTGGAGGGCAGCAGCCAGGACTCACCGCCATGGCCAGCGCCTTCCCGTCCCCGGCTGTTTCCCTGGGGGCCGACTGCGGTCGGTAAGGGGAGGCTCCTCGCTTATCGACCAATTCGCTTAACGACCGAGTCGTAGGAACGGAACTTGGTCGTTAAGTCAGGAGTGCCTGTACATAATTTGCTGAAGAGGAACAATACTTTTGACAATTTGATTAGAGATTCTTAAATTTAAAGAGCTTGATACATTAAGCAATTCAAATTGGGGTTGCAGGTCAAAGCCACAACTGGTTTCTTCCACAGGGAATTTGGATAATACTGCCAAAATATACTGAGCTAGTAGGAAGTCAGATTGAGTGCAGTCCCTTACATAAAGACAAGTGAAATTCAAGTGTATTAACATACCCATACATTAGAGAACTCGGAGTAAAGTTTAATTACATGCACTCTGGCAAGAGGATGCTAACTTTACAAACCCCCCCTTCCCCCAGCATTTCAGTACTGCAGGTAACAAAAACACTTCAACAGTTTACAGCAACTTTCCAATGGGAATCTGAAGACAGTCCAAAAAACCCCTGATCTCCTGGTGTTCAATTTTAACTAAGAAACAGGAATCCTTAAATCACAGTGAGCTTTAATATCTGACAGATTGGGTTTTCTAGGCATCTGACTTCTTACCGACCTTGTTGAACAGGAAGGCTCTTCCTGTGGCCCCTGTAAAGCGTGTGGATATGAGCTCTGAGCGATTGGTCAAGATTGTGTCACAATTTGCACAGGAGAACAGGCGAGTGCCACCAATGTGATCCAGGAAGATTCTGCCCATTTTATTAAGCTTCTTTAAATCTAGACTCAGAACCTAAAAGCAAGAGCTGAAATATTTCATTCATGCAAAAAAATTCACAGAAGGCTTCCTTTCTAACAGGAGGCCAAAGCATTCTGCAGGGCAATTCAAGTTAGTGAACATATAAATAAATGTATATATGAATTACTGCACTCAGTTACAGTTGGCATTCACTCTTTATTCTTCAACTTTGATGGAAAGAGAGATTACAAGCCTCACCAAAATGAAAAGGTTCTCTTCTACAAATGTTCATCCTACTAGTACGATATTTTAAGTACACACACACAAGGCATGCCAAGAAGGGGAATGTGACTTGCAACACACTGCTGGTAAGTCTCCTCAAATATGTGATATAAACACAAAGGAAATTCAACATGGCCCTCCAGCAGTTCTAGAGAGTCGTTGTCTTCTTTAAAGCAGCTATTTTACAGCATAGCCTGTGCGTGCATAATTGCCAATGGTCATTTCCTTATATTGCTGCCACAGGACAAGATATAAGCCAGGCAAAAAGCTGGAATGTTCTGAACAACTACAAGGGGGGCGGGGGGAAGAGACAGGATGCACAAGATGAGGAGTACATTATGACAAATGAAGTACATCAGCAGGCAATATGCCAAGAAAAGAGCAGTAACTCAGACATATACAGACTGCAACCACAGCTTTATGATACCGTGGCTTATGTATTCAAAAGTCTGTTCTCCTTCCCCAGGAATTCATTCTCGTTAGCAAAGCCCCCAAACTCCATTCCAACATAATCCATGAGACTCATTTTAGTCAACATTAGAAGCTACACCACCGAGGCCAAGTACAGATATTATATTTTTACTCAGTGGTCACCAACCAGTGCCTCTCGATCCACTGGTAGATCTCGGAGCCTTTTGGAGTCGATCCAAGGCTGGGGTTGGGAGCTGAGTGCCCACATGCATGCATGCACACGCCCTAACCTAGCAGGTCAGTCTGCAGGGGAGGGAAGGGGCAGGGGCTAGACAGAGGCCCGCGCGGTGAGGGACAGTGCCGCAGATGCAGGAGCAGGGGTAACTTGAGTGGGGCACCAGCCGGGTAGGACTTACCTGCTGGGGTGGCATGCCCCCAAATAATTTTTTCTCCCTTTGCCTCGATCTGCCCCCGCTTCCCTCCCCACAGACTTATCTGCTGGGTGGAGGGAAGCGTGGTGGCAGTGCATGGTAGATCTTGGGTTGCTTTTAAATGCCAAAAGATGATCTCTTACTTATAAAGGTTGGAGACCAATGCTTTTACTGGCATAAGTGATTGGAAACTGGTCTATACCTTAAACAGAAGTTCAGCGCACAAACTGGTTTAAAATGGCAGAACCCAGTCTAAGATTTGCCCTGCCCCACCCCAAAAGGGTCAACGTGTGTTCTGTTTGCCACAAATCCAAACTATGCTGCTTACAGAAAATCATGCAACTTAAACTGATTCTGCCTCGGGCTTTTTGAATGCCTGTACCTAACCTGAGATCATAAAATGAATTACAGTTTAAATTTTTCTGAGTCACCTTTTGTTTTTCAATACTTATTTTGTCATCTCCCCAAGCTCATCATGTGTGACCACATACTAACACATCGCTATTATAAATGGTCTCAAAAGCACCCTCCAGGTCATTTTTTAGGTTGAAACCCACAGCATTACAGAGACTTTTTCATTTGCAAACCCCTAAGATATTTTGAATGGAGGTGTGGACCCCTTTGGAAGTTTAGAATGAAGGTGCAGACCCTTTTGAATTGTAAGTGTGGGCATTCGCATACTTTTGATGGATCACAGTCATCTTTCACAGACCCCTTGGACATAGTCTGTGGACCCCCACAGGTCTATGGACCGCAGGCCAAAAACCACTGCTGTAACGCAATAGACTTTACTGGCTGTTGCAGAACGCAGCACCATCTACGTTTCACATACCAAGTTAAAATTCAGATGCTCTTTCATATAAACAACTCATTTCTCCAGAGGTTTTACAAGGAGACGGATGGTATAAAAACTTTCCATTTAAAATAACTTTAAATATTTATACAGATCAACCTTGGGAATTTCTAGGGCACTGTTACTGAAGCATCTGATCAATTCTTTTAATTTAAGGTCCTTTTGCGGGTTAAAAAAAGCAAGCCAATTGAAATTACCAAGATATTTTCATATTTAAAATGACACCAAAAATCAAATCAAATCGGATGATGTCCCATAAGAAAGATAGTCTTTCTTGTGCAAGGTATTTAAGTTGTCCAATTTTGATTTCTCCTTTAAGCAAGATTTATTACTACACTTATAGAAGTTCAGATCAATATAGCTTTGTGCTTCATATCCAAAAGGAATATCTTTCTCCTTCTATGTAAAGCACAGTATAATAAACTTGATGCATTAGGTGCAAGGAAGGCCGTTTCATTTTCTACTAAAGCAAAGACTGATTATTACCACTTTAATTTGATGGACACATGCTGCCGCTTGATCCCATTTCACTTATTAGGCATCTAAATGATACTTAAGCAATGAAGAGCAACCCTCTTCTATCTTGCTAAATGGTGTCTTGTTTTGTAGTGAACCTTCATTTTAGCTTTAAAACTAAATTGCAGATAAAAGCATGGAGGAAGAAGACCCACCCACTTTTTTGCATTAATTTTTTTCAGGGAACTCTAGCAGGACCACATAACTCCAGTTCTAGAGTTTCTGCACTCCCAATAGCTTTCTGGGCAAAATTCAAGGTGCCAGTTTGGACTTATTAGGCCCTAGATCCTACATACCTAAGGGATTGCCTTCTCCCTTATACCCTATTGCAATCCCTTGCGTTAGCGAGGAACAACCTCTTGCAAGTGCCTTCAGTATGTTTCATCTACTTGGCAAAAAGATGTGGGAGCTTGTTCTCAGGAGTTTCTCCTCAGCTCTGGCACTCCCTCCCTTGAGACCCACAAGTGCCCAAGCCTGGACATCTTTCAGAAGTGCTACAAGACCTTTTTATTAGGGCAGGCATTTAGCAAACAAAGCTAATCTGAGATGTTATTTAGTGGTCTCTGTTTTATTTGGATATGCTAGTTCCTCTTATGCTGTTTTGTTCTCTTGCTGCTCTGAGCCTTTTTTAGGAAGGGTTACAATTAAGTTGCAAAAATAGCAATCCAGTTAGAGACTCTGATGTCTAATAAGCGGAGAAGGATCTGGCCCATAGTCTGACTTCACACTGTGAATCTTATGTTGAATGTACACAGAAAGATTTAAGTTCAATATTTTTCTATTTCAGTTTCTCAAGGGTGCAATCGCTAACTGAATGAATATGCTTCCACAGACAGAGGGTGATTAGGACAGTGGTTCTCAAGCTTTTCGGACACAAGGCACCCCTTGGAAAATGCCAACTCTTAAATTCACGCTTGTGTTTTTGAATGCAGAAAAATAAGGGAGCAATTCTTTTGTCACAATTACTCAACAGGTCAGAATGTTTTTAATCCTATGAATTCCTATTTGAAATCTGAGTCTATTTTGTGAATCATGTTTGTACACCTACCAGAGCTAACATTGCATGGTGCCCCTCAGCACCCCTGAAAGAATTTCAAGGCACCCCAGGGTGCCAAGACCAAACAAACAATATGCAGGAGACCCACTCCCATCTACAAGAATCACTGTAGTAGGAAGTAAAGGCAAGTTGCCTTGTAATGCTAATTTGTATGGTAAGATTTGATAATAAAATAAAGCAGCACACATTGCACATGATTTTAGTATCTAAATAAAACATGTTAATATATGTTCTCTGAATCCAACACACCCTTTCAAAGTCCTTTATCTTCTATTCAAGTGCATGAAACTCTAGGCAACAAAAAGGACAGATTTGTGCATCTTCAGATTCCATATATGCTGAGCTTCTTTCAAGAAAAATCAAAACCACTCTACCTTGATCGAGTAGTTCAACATTGTGATTTAATTTAGGCAGCGAGATACCCTCTTTCCTAGCTAAGACGGAACAGGAAAGCAATAAAAGATTAAGTCATTTTTAAACAAAATGGAAAAAGGGTGCCAAACCTAACGGCATGAAGCAATGATGAAATTCAAATAAACTGCTAATGGATGCTAAAAGGTATTAATTAAATCTATGGCTGGCAGGGTTGAAGGATAAGATTGAATTCTTGCAATATGTTTAACTATACAGAACAAACAAAATATAACAACGGCTTAGGCCAGATACCACGCAAGAATGGTAAATGTATTAATAAGAATGTACAACAGGTAGAAATATTTGATGAGTACTGTTTGTTATCTTTATGGAAATAAGGAGGATTAGATATTCATGTCTCCGGCAGTGATAAGACAAGACACTTTCTACTCAGTCAGTCATTCAGGAGGATGTTACAGAACAATTGAAGCTGAACATTTTGAAATTTGCAGGTACTGGCTAACTTGCAGCCAAGAGAATGGAAAAGGCCAATAGGCTCTCTCAAGCCTTCCTGTTGCATTTCCACTAAACTTCTTACAACAAGGATGTTCCAGAGTACTAGGAAAAAAGCTAATATCCTGTCAATATTTAACTAGCATAATCAAGATGACCTTGGAATCCAAGGGCTAGTTAGCCTGGAATTGACCCTGGGCAAAAACCATGAAGAGGGAGATACCATACACAATCAGTTAAAAAAGATGATAGCATAACTAAACGTGGTCACATGGGAAAAGTTCTGGTAAAAAGGAACTGGTAAACTTCTTTTTGAAGATGTCACAAATATGGGTGATAAAGGTGAGCTGACTTATTCCCACATGAAATTCTCATAGATCCCAAGCAGCATTCATCTTTTAAAGGGTGACCAATACTAGATAGATTACAAACCTGTTAACCAAAAGCTCATGAAAAGCCTTTAAATGGGGAATACTCATTTAATGGGATACTTCTAGCATTACTCTGGATTGTTATCAATGAACTGAAAGAACATACAAAATCATTGCTAGTGAAGTTTGTATGTGACTGGAATTGGAAGCAAGGAAAATAAAGATGGAAACAGGTCAGTTGTATAGATCTAGCAGGATCACTTGATAAGGTGTGCTCATTTGAGAAACATGCATTTGAACATAGCCAAAAGCAAATTAAACTTCTAGAAGCCTACACTGTAAGATGGCCTGCTTTCCAGGATGCTGTTACCTATGATGTCAAGACTTAAGGGTGAATAATCAGCTGAAGGCTCACATTCAAACAACTGTGTAGCTGAGATGAAACGCAAATCAATGACAGGAATATGAAGCTGAAGTAGAGGAGGCAGCAATACTTCTGCATACAGTATTTACAGAAACTATTACTGAAATATTGTGCCCAAAATATTATGAAAATATAAAAAGGGCTCAGCAAAGGATTGAGAGTGATTCAAGTTCTAGAAAACATACCTTATTTACCCAAATCCAAGATGATGCCAAATTTAAGATGGACCCCCTCTAATAATTAGATTGCATACATAGAAAAGTCATACATTCGTTATAATTTTCCATGTATAGAATTTCGTTATTGGAGAATAATCTTATATTTGTGCCCACCACTGCAGCAGAGGAAACAGCGGTAGGAGACGGGCAGGAGGTAGGGGAAGGCAGTAAGGGTAGAAGCAGGCAGCTTGCCTCCTACTGCCTGTTCCCCTCCATACACACTTACTAAGCCTTGTGTCTACTCCCCTGCAGCCTCAAGCCCCTGTTTCTCCTCACCCCTGCCCCGCTTACCCTTCCACAGGAGCTGGCACAACTGCTAGTGCCAGGCTGGGGCTATGCTCCATGCCCTGTGCTGCAGTGGGGACAAAGCCTGCTGGCACCAAAGCAATGGTAAAGCCAGGGAGGGGGAGGTCAGGAGGTGGGTGGAAGGTTGGCAGGAAGCAGCTATGGCTCCAGTCCCGACTCAGGGTTGGGACCAGAGCTGCAGCACCTGTCCCCCACCCCCCTGCCACATACTTGATTCCAAGATGAGGGGCTTCCCCCTCCCCATGTTAAATGGGGAACAAAATCCTCATCTTGGAATCAAATAAATATGGTAACTTATAGCGAGATTGCAGAAAGGCATCATTTAGTGGATCCAAGAGGTTTTAAAAGTGACTCAAGTACCTTTATAGGGAAACTTTCACAATAAAAGTCTCTTTACTACAGCAAAAAACTAAAAGATATAAATCCATGTATGAAAGCTGAAACTAGAAAAAAAAAGAGAATAAAACTAAGGTAAAAAAGAAGAGTTCATTATCCTCCGTGTTGGACACTGAAACAACTCAATGTAGGACACACTGGATTCTCTCTCTTAAAACAGGGCTGTCCTATTTATCTGGCCCCTCAGACCAGATCTGGCTCAAAGGACTTCTGGCAGGTCAGACAACTTACCTATGACAGCAGCAGGGGCAGGGCTCCAGACCAGCACTGATGTAGACAAGCCCCAAGGCCCACATTTTGACCCTTATGGGCTGCATTAAGTCAGGACAGACTGTCTTTCTGAAGAGCTATTGGGAAACTTAAATGACAGAAGCTGGAATCTTTAGGGCAGCGGTTCCCAAACTGTGGGCTGCAACCCCAATTGTGGGGGGGGGAGTGTGTCACAAAAATCAGCAGATGGGGTTGTGGAGGTAGGGGGCTGTGGGTTGAGTGAGGTGCCATGCTGAGGAAATGGGGCCATAAATGGGGTCATAATGAGGAAAAATTTAGGAAGCACTGCTCTAGGGTTTCATCCTGCTTTAGCTAGTTCAGAAAGGCATGAGCTTTCACAGGTGGCAACCTACTTCATCAGATAACAATGGTGAATGAGAGTTTGGTTTCTCAAGAATTCAAACCTTCATTAAGAGTTTGAACCCTCCAGTTACCAAAAAACTTTTCCAATACAAGATGACCATGAACCAAAGCAACGCTGTCTCCCCACATCTACAAAGAAACAGTGCCAGTGATTATAACTGATCTCTGAAAGCTGTTCAAGTTTTCTGTTGATATTCAGAGCCCTGGGGGCAGCAGCACAACTGTCAGAAATCAAGCATATGGGTAACAGTGGGCTGAGCAAGCCGTAGAGAGTGGGAGATGTAGATATTTGTGGTATTCACAGGGCAGGACCCCCCCAAAAACCCAAACAAACAACAACAACAAAAACAGATGCTGGAGAATGGGTAAAGACATCTCACTCCCTCATCCTTTCCTCAAAGCAGCCTAATGGCCTCCAGTTGTTCTTTGCCCTCCAGTGAGTGCAAGACAGCAAATCCCAACTGGCCTGTCCTCGTGCAACATATATGCATTTTTAAAATAGAGATCAAACATTAAATTGTTGCTTTAAACAGAAGAGAAGGGGCTGGTTACTTAGCCATTAATGGAAAATAAAGCTTTTAATTTCTTGTCCAATCCACACATTTGGTAGTGACAGTGACTTATGAAATGGACTGACTGCACATGCTTCCGTTTTGTAGTCAGCATCATAAGAAACACCATCACAATCATTGTCCTGGTTGGCAATTTTGGGATACCTATTACAGATCATTATGTAATACCATCTAACTATTTGGACTTGGTTACAGGATGTTATGGAGACATTACTCACTCCCAATTTTGTAAAAGCACTTCTGGTACATGTGGCTTTTAGGTGTTCGCAGGACAGTATTCCTAAGCCCCATTCCTTTCACTACCTCACCACTCTACACAGGTGCTGTGCCAGCATCCAGAGGAAGTACAAACATGATAGCAGCATGGTACAATGAGTCTTCTCTAAGCAATCCTACAAAGCTTTACTCCGTTGTTCACTGTCCTTTGGGTAACAATGTTTACGTTGACATCAACACCACCCAGGTTGTAATTTTCAGGTACTTGCTCTGACCATACCTCCCATCAATATTCACCCTTGCAAGCAACAGACAACAGGAAAAGATAATGCCAAATAAAGCTTTATTAACATTTTTAAAGTCCATTAACAATTTTTTCAGGAAATATACCGTGGGACTATACCTATAAACAAGCAAAGGTTAGTCACCCTACTACTACAGAGGACTGTCCCTGCAAATCTGCATGTTGCTTCAGCCCTATCTACCACTTTCCTGAAGTTGAGTGGAAACAAGAGAGGTTTGCTAAATGAAGGACCTGCAGCAAAGATAGATGCTGTCTCTTCATATCTCCAACTATATTAAATTTACCTTCCTATGCTATGTCACTCCAGACATTACTCCCTTGAGAAGTGAAACATACCCTAAGGGCCTCATCCCACCTAGGTAGGGGTGAAGCTCACACAACCACAGAGAGGCTCAGATGACATACTCACTGTGGAACTAAGTCCAGACCATCCTAGAGAAGGTAAGAGAAAAGGAAAGTTAGTTAAGCTACAAAGCAAAACAACACAGTAAAGAAACCCCCAATTCAAGAATTCTTAAATAAATAATAAAGCCTATTTCTTACTTTCCAAGACACTGCCACCAGCGCTCATCAAAATGAACTTCAGGCTCAGGCTGTCTGACAGCAGATACAGAATTTAAACAAATATCACGGTAGAAGGTTGCCAAGAGTCCAAGTACAGCAGAGCATAGTCCCTGGCATTTCTCCCGTATTCAGGGATCTTTCTATTTTGCTTTGACCTGCACAAAGAGATTCATGGATCCATAAAAATCTACAATGCCTGTAGTGTACAACAGCCACCTGAATAGGAGAGCTACTGAGAATACACTACACCATGGGAGACTGCCCTGATTCAGTCACACCAGTGCAGAGAAGGTCTTAGAATAATTTTAGGATGCCTTAAGTTTATAGATTGAAAAGAGAGAGAGACAAAAAAAAAAAAAAGGAGACAGGCTCTTTGGATAGGAGTTGGGCATTTATTAAGACTTTGGTACCAAAATACGATTGAACATCTGGGTCCAAAAAAGGTTTAACTGCTAACTGATAATTTTAGAGGAGAAAAACATTATTAACTTCAGAAGTATTGCTATAACATTGTGGGGGCTCCTAGTAAAGTGAGGACAGATGAGGACTTGATAAGCCTGTCAGAGACAGCCTGTAACGTTTCTAGTTTGTGCTATTCACATATACCTCAGAACTCCATCATGCAAATCTTCCTTCTGCTAAGCCACACCTAAAGGCAGTGACCACAGCCCATTTAGTAACAAAGAATCAGATCTATGGAAAATTAGACTTGTAGACATATGTTAAACACTCTGAAAAATAAGAAAGGGAAGGTAACAAAGATGACAAGTCTGTACAGATTTTTTAGGAGACAATGAGAGAAAAAAAGAGGTTAAGATTATAAGTGACATTTTGATGACTGCCATTTGTAAACCACTATATGGGCTAACAATTTGTATTTTTCTGTCAGGACTAAAGGGATTGTAGCTATGTAATGGTTAGTAAGATTCCTACATGCTGTTCCCTCAATTACAAAATGAGCCCCTTTACCTATCCACTGTTATAGCTTACCTGCAAAATGTTAGTTATATAAATGATTAATCCAATATTAACCTTAATTCGTGTTAGCTGCAAGATGTTCTGTAACAGGTATAATTTGAACTAAGTCAAATTCAATACCATTGTATTCTGTTTCACAGATGAAAGATAAAAATATTTGGTCAGTTATGCCATTCTAAAATAAAGTCTCTCTCTTAAGGAAAAACCATGCATAACATATTACTTGAAACCATATTGGCTTCCTTATTCTTGTCTAGCATAACTTGTGATACAGCACAATACACTATACAACTACAGCCCCGCTCCCCACACACACCCCTTCCTGTAATGATAAGCAACCAGCATAACCAATTTAATGCCCCAAGAATCCACAATAAAGTAGATTTTTTGTTATTCAGATCCATTAGACAAAGCTAGATGATATTACTGCAGTAAGTCATCATAATCAGATGGCTGAGATCATTCCAATAGCAAACAGAGCAAATACTTCAACTATAGAAGTAACCTATCAAACACAGACACAGGGTTTATTTAAGACTGTTTCAACATCTCATGACAGATGGAACAAATCTTCAAGAAGACATGAATTATTAATATTTAAATGAAGAGTTGAAAAGCAGGAATATAAAACACCCAACTAACCACCCTGGAAGAATCTCTGAGGCCCTGTAACAGTGATTCTCGACCAGAGTACCTGGTCACCCTGGGGGCCATGAGATCAAGTGTGAGCAGATAAGGTCAGGCTCAGGCTCCAGATGTGAGCAGATAAGGTCAGGCTCAGGCTCCAGATGTGAGCAGATAAGGTCAGGCTCAGGCTGATGCTCCTTCCCCACCCTGCTACTGCCTGACCCTTCTACAAGGAGATAAGCCCTGTAATAAGTAAACTAGTTTTTGAAATGGAGGGCTGTACAAGCCACAAGTTACAGAGGGGTGCCTTGCATCTAAGTAGGTTGAAAACTACTGCCCTATAACCAGCTCTGTGCATGCAGACCTCTGCACCAATATGGAGTTGCACTAATTTCTAGACAGAAGTGAGATCTCATCCATATTGAATCCATTGCAGGATCACTGGGGTGGAGGTGGGGGGGTTGAGACCACCTGTATCCCTAGGACATTTTAAGTTCAAAATGGCAAAAGATATTTGCTTGGAAGACTGCACTTTATTTCAACATTTTTGTAACATCCTTCCATTAACTTCTGCAAGTGACAGCTACATGACAGACATGTGCTACTACCTATAGTACTAGAGCAGGGTTATACAAATAGCGCTGGTAAGTATGGGAGGGGTGGGAAAAAGAAAAAAGGAGAGCATATGAGTATATAGCAAAATACCTGCCATCACTGTAATCAGAAAAGGTGGGGGGCACAGAAAGGTGGTTAACTGTGTTAGTCTGAAGTCAAGCAGAAGGTAGGCCAGAGTAGCACCTTAGAGACTAACTGGTTAGACTTTAAGGTAAGACAGAAAGAAACATTAATGTTTGTTTAAAAAAAAAAAAATTGAGTTGTTTTAAAACTTAAGACCAAGTATCACTGAAGTGACAGTTGTCAACTATGTAGTAGAAAGTATGTTTTCCCCATCTGCCATTTTTAGAAGGCCTGCCTGTATTCCTACTTTCTGCACACAGGAACGATGACTTCCCAAGTATCCTTAAACTAGCTTCCTCTCCTGTGGTCCTAATGCGCAAGCCATCAAAATCAAAGGACAGATAATAATAGATTCTCCAACCAATTTTGCTGTTTAAAATTATCCACTCGGCCCTGAGTGGGTTAGAAAAAGGGAAGTAAGCACTAACAGCAGGTCCAGCTGGCAGGACTGTCAAGCCCTTGCTTTAGTTTGCAAACAGCCAAGGAAAGGTTTGGAAAGCCCTCTGCTTCCCAGGGCCCTGCCACCTCTTTCACTTAGACCAGCCAGCAGTGGAGAGGGGACCCATTTTCAAGCCCGTTTTCACAGGAAAGCAAGGCTGGAAGGGTAGCCACCTAGTGCAGCCCCCTGCCCCAGCCAGCATCCCCCCTTGCCAAACAAATCCTGGGCCAATTCACTCCTAACGCCACTCAATTGCTTTGTTGCTTCCCGCCTCCTTCCATGGCCCCACAGCCATCCTCGGGGGCAGGGGTTGTGGGGATAACGACTTGGCCCCATGTAACTGTGCTGCTCTCTGAGGGGGGAAGCAGTATTACGGCCCCGTGGGGTTCAGAGACCCTATCAGCAAGGCCTCCCCCACCCCCTCCACTCGGGCATCAGCCAGAGGAAGAGACTCTGCAGCCTGAGGAGAGGGGAGGGGAGGGGAGGGGAGTGGGGGGAGGACACAAAGGCAGCAGCCGCGCGGGAGGGAAGGGGAGGCAGCCCGACAGCTGGTGCTGGTCACGTGCCCGGCGGCGGCCAATCGGAAGGCAGCTGGGCGCTCCCAGAACGAGGCTCTCCCAGCAACCCCAGCGGCTTGACAACAAATACGAGGAAACAGCTGAGCCCGGCTCGCCCCACCCCTCCGTCCCCCACCCCCGTCACGGCA